TATGATATGCACATTTCTGGGCTATAGTATATTTTAATAAAAAGCTTTAAAATAGAGGGACAAAATAAAGGGATAATTACATAATTCCTTTACACAACCAGAAATTCCTACACTATCCATCTCAAGAGAAATGTATTTCTAATAAAATTTTACTTTTTATGTTCAATAATTACTTATCATTGGTATTATCTTTGTGCTACTTTGAGTTATGCACTAATAATAATTGTAATGGTAACTCAATCTAGGAGAAAATGTTTACATTTCTAGGCTTATGGTCATTGAAAAGCAAACAAACAAAACAGCAACCCTCAAAGAAGTAGGACAGCTGAAAAAGGAAATAACTTTTAAACAAGAGAAAATTCCGGGGGAGAAATGAAATACAAAAAGATCAAGGAAATAACATTGTGAAATAGATCATATATATATTTTTTAATGTTTATGTATTTATTTAGAGAGATAGAGCATGAGAGCAGAGGAGGGGCAGAGAGAGAGGAGGAAAGGGAGGGAGAATCCCAAGAGCCCAATGTGGGGCTCAAACTCATGAACCATGAAAATCATGACCTCAGTTGAAATCAAGAGTCAGACTCTTAAATGACTGATCCACCAGGTGCCCCTGCCCATGAGTATTATTAAAAAGATGATGGTGGATAGCAAATCACTAAATTTTTATAATCCATACTATTTAAAGGTATCAGTTTTATTTTTAAATGTCAATATTCATATTATGGCAAAAATGAGATCGCTTATACTTTAAATTTATAAGAAAAGATCTTAGATGACTACATTATAAAGTGTAACAGGGTGCACAATTTTTCAATAGAGTTTCTTTATTAGGGAGAACCTAAGTCAAAAATAGTTATATGAAAAAAATGGTTCAGTATAAAAGAATCTCCCCAAATATCCTTCCCTTAAGATTCTGTCAGGGCGGTATGTTCTACCTATATTATTTAGGTTAATCTATATTAGTATTCTTTTGCTTACAAGTGACAGAGAAAAAAACCAACCAAACTAGATTGTCAGTCAGTGAAGGGTCTGAGATTTTACCCCATGTGCAAACAAAAAATTAGCCTGTCACCATTTCAGGGGTCCTGCAGAAGACACGAGACTCTTGGGTTAGAGACAAAGGACTTTTACTCACAGCAATAACAGCAGCCGGAGAATTTTTGCTATTTCCCTGAGCCCCACATCCCACAATGCAGTGCAAAGAGGGCCAAGTGATGCCTGTACAGGCAGTAAGTTATATCAGAGGAGATAAACCCGGGCTTAGGAAATGCAAACATTTTACAACAAGCAGTAAGCCTGCCTGATCTTTACCCTAGAGAAGGATATTATCTTTATTATACTGAACAGTAAACAAATACCCTTTACCTTGGAGAAAGATACGGTCTCCATCTTCCAAAGATCTTTGTTATACAAATATTCTTGGAAATACAGTCTTAAACAAATTCAAAAGATATACAGAAACACAAAAGAGCCCTGGAGAACTGTCTCACAACATGAGTTGAGAAAATAATAAACAGAAAGAAACTCCTGTAACTGAAAAGTACACAGATACATTAGCTGCAAGGATGTCTGGATCTAGGGGCTTAAAAATATGTGGCAGGGAGTTGTCTCAAAAACACAGCATCCAACACGTGGCTCTGCTTTCCTCAGAGCTGGCTTTCATTGTGACCTGGCTCTCATCGGGTGGGGTAAGAAGGCTGCCCGCAGCTCCGGACCAATGTTCCGACGCCTCTGCAACAGCAAAGGCAGGAAGGGTTTTCCTTCCTGACCCTTCCAACAGAAACTGGCCAGTTCCTGGTACGTGTTAAACCCTAGATCTTGGGTGTAAGATGTGCCCTACCAGAAGGGCACAGAATGAGAGTGGGGTGGGAGAGGTTTGCTCCCAAAGAATGGGGGACTGAGCTGAGCCAGCAAAGCTGCAGCTTTCCCCTATACTACTCTCTAAGTACCCTGAAGATAGCAAAGCTCACATGTATACTTCTGTGAAATTCAAGTACCATTTCTTTTTACAAGCTGATTCTCATTTTAATGAAGCTAGTGGCATATCTAATTTGCTATTTTAAAATCAAAGCTCTTTAGGAAGAGGCTATCTCATCAGTGCCACAGGAAGGATGTTCTGTTTGATAGTGACTGTTACGTTAGTGTTATCGGGTTATTCCAGGCTAAATAATGGCTCCTCCCAAGATGGCCACACCCTAATCTCTGAAACCCATGAAGATTATTTCATCTGGCAAAAGGGACTTTACAGATGTGACCAAGTTAAGGATCTTGATATGGGAAGATTTTCCTGGACTACCCATCAGTGGGCCTGATGTAACCACAGGTTCTTTATAAGAGAGACACAAGGAATCAGCAGAAGTAGAGGGACAGAGAGAGAGATTTAAAGAGGAGGAACGTCAGCCGTGAGCCAAGGGATGTAAGTGGCTTCTGGAAGCTGGAAAAGGCAAGGCAAGAGTCTCCAGAAGAAACCAGTCTTGTCAACACTTTGACCTTGGTCCAGCAATAAATGATTTCAGTTTTCTGGCCTCCAGAACAGTAAAAGATAACTTTGTACTGCTTTCAGCCATCAAATTTATAATGATCTGTTACAGCAACCATAGGAAACAAATGCAAGTGGTGGCATAAAGCAGGTGGTGAGGACCCAGAGAAATGGTAAACAGAAACAAGCCCAACAAAGGGTCCTGCCGCATGCAAGAATTTGTTCCAAAGCTGAGACTCCTGGCAGCAATGGCTCTTGCTGAACTTCTGTTACAAAATGTTACCGAGCTCCGTATTACATGTTCTTAGGTTTTAACACTTTTTAATGTTACTTAATGGGACTTACTTAAATTTTTAAAATTATTTCGGTTTGATTTTAATTTCTATTTACATATTTGTAATATGCTTTTTTCCCTTTTTCCCCCATTTTATTAAGACATGATTGACATTTAATACTATATTAAAGTATATAATGTAGTGATTTCATTGCAATATACTTCTGAATATCACCCTGCACATACATATGCATGTAGAGTGGGGCCAGCAAGAAGTAGAGACTTCAAATATTATATGCTAATAAAACAGTAAAAATCAAAATTATTTTTATTTGATTAACTGTGTCTAAGTCCTACTAATCTTTACCTGAGAGTCTATATAAAGACTACTTTAAAATGTTCCCATATTCCATAAAACTCTTTTCAAATAAATTCACAGAAACTCCTAGTTAATAGGGAAAAGCTTCCCACAACCTCACAGAAAGTAGTATTTAAGTGTACTATGATTCAAATTCCTTTTTAGATATGTTAGAAATCCTCTCAGCTTTAACATAACCCCAGGCATGCTGCTGGATGAGAACTCCCACTCACTTTTTTCTCGTGTCCTATACCCAGTAACTCGACCTGAAGTACTTTTTAAATAAAAACCCATGCCCAAGCCATCTGGGAGACTGTGTGGCATAAAGTAAAGACAAAACCAAGACCCCTCTAAATCTCAAAATTCAGATTCCAAGAATGGCCATAAATGGACCAATGTGTAACCACTGGTGAACTATATAACCTGTATCTACAAACAACTTTACCACGAGTACGATGGGTGGGAAGCCCCTGATCCTCTCACTGTTCTACAGCTTGCGGAAGACCCAGTAAGGGTCAGAATCGATCAGAACAACAGAAACTCCCTTTGAAGGTGACGGCTAGTGAAGGTGGTGAGACAACGTAATCACAGGGGAGGGCCCCTGAGACACTGACAACTGCCCCCATCTTCCCTCATCAAAAACGAGATTTTAGTCCCAAGAACTGAACAAGATGTGAGGGGAATGAGTTTCTATCCGACCACAGCCTTCCAGAATTTCCAGTGTGATACCCCAGTTCCATTTTAAATAAAATGCCTGTCCAGAGCCATTTGAGTCAGGAGACAAATAAGCTGTCTGGACATGCTAGTAATCAGGGAGAAAATCTACTTTCTCCTTTCTCAGCTAGAAATAGTAAGCAAATATGGGGTGTGTAAAGGTTCTGATCTGCATTAAAAAAAAAAACAAAAAAACTACTAGTTCCTCTCGTTGCAATCTGGAAAAGAACCATATTCTCCTTGCCTTGGCTCAGGGCCACTCCAGGAGCTAAGTGTTGAGATGCAGTTTGCCAAACTAGATCAGGCAACAAGAGGGAAACAGGTGTGTGTGTGTGTGTGTGTGTGTGTGTGTGTGTGTGTGTGTGTGTGTCTGATGAGAAGTCATGCAGGAGAATGTTCGGTGGATGCCATGTCCCTATAAAATGTGTCACTTTAAAACCCTAGATGCAGAATCTAGGTCACTACCTCTTGGGAAAGATTAGGTCCTTCTTTACAGAGCCCCTGCCTATTGCTGACACAAGTGGATGGACCTTCCAGAAGGAACACCACCTTGCACCCAGACAAACATTAATAAAGCTCTCGGCCCCTCAAGGCCAGATGTATTCCCAATGCACATCCATCCCATCCGAACACCTACCAGCTGTCGCAGGACTACGGGAAACTGTAAGGATGCTGGAGACACAATTGCTTTATGGAGTGCGGTCTTGCAGATTTGGAGCTATAACTCACTGGTATTTCTGAGTTATAGAGCAGCCATCATCTACTTGTTCAAGAAATTAACTTATACTTCAACGTCAAGGATTTAAGACAGACATGAGAAAGCTCTTTCCATCAACAAACGCTTTTGAAGGCCAAAGAGTCGTGTAAAAAGCAACCTGAGTTTGCCTCTGCAAAGCGTGACACAGCAGAGCCCCCTAGAGCAGGCCTGGGGACCAAATCCCCAGAACACATCCTTCTCAGATCTCTGGATCCAGCTAAGCTCCTTAAATAGATGAGGCCTAAACATTCACATTCCTCAAGCTGCTTAAAGTAAATTTCAATAGCACAAGTTGGGGGACTTCCGTTTTTAAAGGCAAAGATATAGATTCTTAGTTCCCAGAATTAATTGAACATTACTTTTCCAACCCCTGCAGCAGAAAGAGTGCCCAATAACAATGGTGTGTGATGCTTACCAGAGACTTTAGACGGCCGCATAGCATTTCCGTATGTTGACTGGCATCTTCTGATTTCCTGGGCAGTGGGGCAGTGGGGCAGTGTGCCTAGCAGAAAGGGCAGGGTCTGACTTTACAGCCTGGTGTTACCAACCTCATAGAGACCAGGCTAGAGATTTTACATAAGCTGCTAACATAAGCTTTGTAGCTTAAAGAAAACAGATCCGTGCCAAAATCCAGGGAACTGGAGACAGGGAGATAGTGACCTTAAGATGACACCTCCAGGCTAATCGTGAGATATTTCCAGGCACATCAGCGATGTGGGGAAAGGGCTCCCTGAGAACTAGTGAGGCTGCTTCCTCTCAGCCCCTTCTCTGCGGGGGGATTTGCAATCTCCTCTCTAATCCCTATCCTCAGATGCCTGGCTGCCCACTCCCTGCTCCTCTAGGACTCACGGAGGCAAGATCTGTTAGAGGGACGCCCACTACCACCTCCTCTCTCTCACTACAGCAGAGGCTAGCCCATCAAGGTGCACAGGGACCAGGCCGGACCCCTAAGGAAGGTTACTCCTGATTACTCCATCTTTCCATTCAACCCAGAGATCTAAACACTGAGCTTGAACTCCCCATCCCCTCACTCACTCCTGTCTCATGTTCCTCAGTGAGTAGGGCTGGGTCTTAGGACAGCAAGTTCCATGTGGCTGAAGGAAGAGGCCAGAGACAACCAGGGTGTCAAAGTCCTGACTCAATCATCAGGTGCGACATGTACAGATCAGCAATCCTGTATCTGAAACCACTGGGGTGAGAGGAGTTTCAGAATTCAGATTTTTTTTTCCAGTTTTAGAAAGCAAATATAACACCCCCAGCAGAGTATGAGGAAGCATCTTATAAACTTATTAGTACTTTTTTGTACCAAAACATGAATATTCATACTACTATTCTATCAAATCAATCAAATTAGTTATGAAATAAAATCCAGAGTTCTCAAGGATGGGGGATTTGGCACCATCTGCTTTACTTTCCTCCCAGAGATTCTGAAATTCACTCAGAGACAAAGACCCACCGTTGGGAACAGGCAAACAAGGGAACTGTCAAATCCCCAGTAGATGTTCCCTGCCTCGGGAGGCCCAAGGGATGGACCAGCCGGGACATGGCCAGGCTGATTTAAAGACTCTCTGACACAGTAAATGCCTTCTAAGCTGAGCCTCCCTGGCCTCAGAACCCAGACAAAAATGCTTCCATAGAGCCCTTCATATTCAGAGGTTGGGTCTCCAGGACGCAAGCACCTGGCTCCAAGGATACAACATATATCCAGTCGAAGGTCACAGGAGGACCCACACGGCAACAGCAGACCAGTTCTCTCCGAGCCCCGACCCTGGGGTACTGATGTTAGTTCCACAGGGTGCAGGGCAAAGCATGCCTTTGAGAAACAGAAAGAATATCTTATAGCTGCAATCTTTCCTTTGCCACTTTAAGTGCCAGCACAGCCAAGTCACACCTCCCTCCCTGCTCTCTTCTCACTCTGCCTGCTGCCTGGTGACCGGTATCCACCCGCCGTGGCCTTGCCTACCTGTGTGCCCTGAGGTCACACAGCTCATGTAGTCCCAACCTCCCCAACTGTAACTCACATCTAAACAAACATTTGATTATTGAAGTATAGTTGACGTACAATGTTGTATTAGTTTCAGATGTACAACACAGTCATTCAACAACTGTGCTACACTCACCACAATAAGCATAGCATCACCAGGCACCATTATTACATTATTGACTATATTCTTTATGCTGTACTTTTCATCTCTGTGACTTACTTTATAACCAAAAATTTGTACTTCTTAATCCTCTTCACCTATTTTATCCATCTCCCTACACTCCTCTCCCGTATGGCAGTCACAAGCTCTGTGCATTCACAAGCCTGTTTCTGTATTTTGCTTCTTTAGTTATTAATATTATATTCTTTATTTGTAAATTCAAAAATTCATGTTTCCTCTTTGTTAGAGTACAATGTTTATTAGTGAATTATCACAGGCCATAGCATCATAATCATAGTGATCATGGAAAACACTAATGGTTTTAAAATCCATGACCTGGTAATTCCATAAGTTTGTGTTCGCTTTCGTATTTTGACTAAATGAAACTGAATGTTAAGATTCACAAGTATCATTCACCCTGACTCTTGAATACTCAGGGCTTTCTTCTTTGTCTTGTCCATCTATATTTATTCAAAGAAGAATTACTTTAGCAAGAATTTAGTTTTTACCTCAGTTGATCATGTCTACCACTGTTCCATGAGCTATGATCTTCCTTGGAAAATCCCAACCTCAATATCCAATCAAAGAAAGTCATTACTTAGATGCTTATTGTAAAAACCAAACAGTTTTTTTTATTCTACATATAAGTAAAATCATATGGTATTTGCCTTTGTCTGACTTATGTCACTTCGCAGAATACCCTCCACATCCATCCATGTCACAAATAGCAAGATTTCATTCTTTTTATGGCTGAGTAATATCCCATTGCATATATATATATATATATATATGCATATATATGTATACATATATATGCATATATATGTATGTATGTATATATACATACCACATCTTCTCTATCCATTCATCTATTTACAGACATATAGGTTGCTTCCAAATCTTGGTGATTGTAAATAATGCCACAATGAACATTGGGGTGCACAAATCTTTTCAAATTAGTATTTCTACTTTCTTTGGACAAATTTCCAGTAGTGGAATTTCTGGATCGGATGGTACTTCTATTTTACTTTTTTGAGGAACTGCCATACTGTTTTCCACAGTCCAACTCACATTTTTAACTGCCCTGGGGCACCTCCAGGTGGCCTCATGTACCCTCTCCTGCTGTGCCATAACCTACTAATATCTGTTTACCTCCCACATCTCTCTCTCTTGCACTTGGGTTGGTCATGTGACTGGTTCTGGCCAATGGAATGTGAGCAGAAATGCCATGCGTCACCACTGGCAGGGATATTTAGTATTTGTGTATCATCCTCATGTGTTCTTCCTCTCCATTATGTCAGGTCAAGAAAGTAAAGAATCAAAATAAAAACATTCTAAGTCCTGGAGTCACTGCCTAGAAAAAGCCACCAGACCCACACTTAACTGTGAGAAAATAAAGTTCCTTGGGGAAAGATTACTGAGTTTAGAATTATCAGACATAGCAGCTAGTGTTAATTATCCCCACACACCTGCCTTCTCTACTTAGCAAGCTCCTACTTGTGGCTCAAAACTCCAATTCAAATGCCACCTCCTCTGTGAAATCCAAATTTTGTAAGAAGTAAACCACTCCATCCTATGACCTCTAGCAAGTCACTTGTGTATCTGTCAGTCTCTGGACACATTTCTGTTTGCATGTCTAGCTCCTACATTTGTGGGTGCTTCTTTTTTGTAACGACATATTCTTAGTGCCTTGGAAGTAGCAAACACCTGATGTTTGATTTCCCGCAGCAAAGATGGGAGCCTTCTCGTTCATGTTACCAGCAAGCCCCAAGTCAGGATTTTCCCGAGTCACCGTGTTCTTGGCATCATGCTAGGTACTGTGGTTAAAAGTCAGGAAAGTAGGACACTGTCGCCCACCGCAACGAGCATGTTTTTATCTTGAGATCCTCTGCACCCTATCAGCTCCCGTCTTTATTAAAGGACAGCTTCCACTTAAAAAGTACATGGTCTTGGGGCGCCTGGGTGGCTTAGTCGGTTAAGCGTCCGACTTTCGCTTAGGTCATGATCTCACGGTTCGTGGGTTCAGGCCCCGCGTCGGGCTCTGTGCTGACTGCCAGCTCAGAGCCTGGAGCCTGTTTCAGTCTGTGACTCCCTCTCTCTCTGACCCTCCCCTGCTCACGCTGTCTCTCTCTCTCTCTCCTAGAAATAAATAAAAACATTAA